GCGATCGCATGGCCGCCGCCTCCCGCCCGCGCGCGATGGCTCGGCCTAGAGGGGCTTCCGCGGCCGCCCTCGGCTCCTCCTTGGTGGAGGCGGCCGTACGCGCCGCGGTCCTCGCGCGCGCCCCACGGCGCACCGTCGCCGCCGTGGCCCGCTCCGCCATCTCCGCCGCCCTGTTCGCGGGCGCGGAGACGCAGGAGCCTGGGGCCACGGCCGGCGAGGTGCCTGCTGCTGGTGCGCCTGGAGAACACGCTGCTGGCCCGCGCGCCGCCTCCGCGGCGCGCGTGGAGAGGCGGCGACGCCGCCGCCAGCGCCTGGCGGTGCGGCGGAGTGCGCCCACAGGTGCTGCTGGGACGGGGACGGGCGCGGGCTCGGAGCTCGTGGCCCTTCCCCCTGCTGCTGCTGCCGCTGCTGCTGGCGCGGGCCCTGGGCCCGCTCTGGCCGCCGAGGCCGCGGTGGCCGTCTCGGCCGCGCCCGTCGAGATGCTCGTGGACGATGACGACTTCGACGACGAATGGGCAGACGGCCCCATGAAGGGGGCTAAGGAAGTGGCGCGCCCTGCGGCGGCGGCGGAGCCTGGCGCAGCGGCCGCGGTGGCGGCGGTGCCTGGCGGAGCCGCGGCGGCGGCGGTCCTGGCAGCGGCCGAGGGCGACCGCGTCCGCCTTCCCGATGGGCGGGTGGCCACGATCGCCAGCATCGAGCCCGAGGACGGCCAGCTGCTCGTCCTCTTCGGCGAGGGCCGCCGCGCGACGCACATCCTCGTCGACCTCGACGGCCTGGAGCTCGCGCCTGGCGCGGCCATCACGCCGTGGCCTCCGGGCCCCGGTGGAGGACGTGGAGTCGTTCGGGGAGCTGCGCGCGGGGCCGGCTCCCGAGCGGCGGGGGGAGGGCGATAATGTCCCGTGGAGGGGCCGTCCTCCCCCTCAACGTCTTCCTCTTCGGCGTCGCGCTCGACGTCGGCTTCTCAGGAGTTGGGGGCACCCTCAGATTGCCTCACGAGTTCGTCCTCCGCATGGCGCTGGGCGACGAGATGGTGCTGAGTGCCTGCGACCCGCGGGCGCTCGGCGCGGCGGCCGCCGAGGCGGCGACCCGCGTCCGCGGGAGTGTCTTCTTCTTCTTCCTCCTCCCCCTCCTTCTCCCCCTTCTCCTACGCGCGGCCGCACGTAGCATACGTATCAGCATGCTTGTAAGTCCGGCAAGCGCAGCTATAATTCTGGCAAGCGCACTCATAAACCGAGCAGCTGGGGCGGAAGCAGTCATGAGTATAATTCACATACCAATTGAATCGATGTAATTGCCAGGTTTGCGATCCGATTTATAATTGTTGGCGCACCTGGTTCTATCCAGTTCTTAACCACATAGCGCGGCGAAAGGTTCAGTTAGGTTTGGTTAATCATTTCGGCTCTGGTTTCTTGTCAACACTTAGCCTTAGATAGCTTCACTTAGCTTTAGATGGCTTTGCGGTTACTCTCAATTAGTATTGCGCGGGTTCCCCGTCGTAGCGGCGAGCCCCTGGGATCAGGGGCGGGGCGCGGGGGTGGGGGGCATGGACGGGCAAGACGGCTGCAACGGGGGCAGGGGCGGCTGCAACGGGGGCAGCGAGAAGGGGAAGGGAGGGGAATTGAGACACATCTAGCAGGCCAGGCGTTCTTCCAACCTCCTCGGTTAGATCCCCGCCGCGGCCTTCGTCGGAAAAACGGCGCGGGGAGAAGGGCGATAGAAGAGCGATAGACGAGCGATAGACGAGCGATAGACGAGCGATAGACCGCCCTGGTCTATCGCTCGTCTATCGCTTGTCTATCGCTCGCCCGTCGCTCGTCTACGGGAACACCTTGTGACACCTTCCCCCCCGAACACTAGACCGTGGGGGAAAGGAGGAGGGGGGCGTGGGGGCATGGATGGCTGCAACGGGGGCAGGGAAAAGAGGAGGGGAACGCGGGGGGCATGGACGGCTGCAGCGGGGGCAGGGAAAGGGGGAAGGGAGGGGGGGGGGCAACCCAAGACATGTCCAAGACGGCCCCCGGAGATGGCCCCATGAAGGGCCGCATCGGTTCAAGACGTCGGCGCAACGCCGCCGACGCGAAGGGTTCACATTCACTTAGGTTTGGTTAGCTTCCACTTAGGTTTGGTTAGCTTCAGTTAGATTCACTTGCGCTGTCGGCCAGGAAAGTGATCTTACAGTCACGTTCAGTTGCGCTGACTTAACCAAGCGGTTGTGAATGAATTCGCCGAGTTCAGAGCTATTCGGTTCCGATGAATTGTAAGCATGGTTTCAAGTCTGCTATCTGATCCCGCGCGTCCAGGGGGTCACCACCCACCAAACCACCCCAACCCAACCCGAAGGCTCAGATTTACCCTCGATTTCCAGTGGGGGGGGGGGTCGGGAAACATCGAAAAAACTCGTGTGGAACCCTTACCCCCCCCAACCCGAAATTCGGGTCTTCGGGTTGGGTTGGGGTGGTCTGGTAGGTAGTCAGTGGGGGCTCCCGCGGCGCGCTGCTGCCGGATGCGGCGCCCGGGAGAGCGCAGCCCGATGCCCGGGCCGACCTCGGATCTCGCCCACGGCGGTCTTGGCCGGGCCACGCCGTTGGCGGGGCCCCTGGCCCCTCGAGGTCCCCGGGCGTGCCCGGAGGCCCCCGGGGGCCTCCGGGCTCGGGGGCGGAAAAGAGGGGGGTGATGACTAGGGGGGGTCGGATGTCATGGCGTGGGCCATGATATTTCCCCGGATTTCATGGCGCCTCTTCTTACTTCATTGCGTTCCTGGCCCCCCCGCTGGGCCGCGCACATGCCGCCGGCCACGATTTGCGCCCCCCCCTCTTGGGCGCCCCACTCTTGGCCGCTCCCGACAGGCAGCAAGAAGCGTGCAGAAGCCGAGCCAGCACGTCCAGAGTTGCGCTGCAGCTCTGGGAGGCCGCGCTTGTCTTGTAGATGGCGGCCACTTGTTGACGTTCGACGCATGCTCGACGCGGATTCGACACTAAATTCGTCAATTCGACGTGTTTTTTTTACGCGGATCGCGACGCGAATAGCGACGCAAGTAGCGACGCGAAGTGGCAAACGCGACGAGGAGTTATTGGGGAAGAACACATCAGTATGCGCGGCCTCGTGGGCCGGGCCCCTTGGCCGCGACCCCGCGGATGCGGGGCCTTTTTGCCGCGGATGCGCGGCGCGTCTTCGTGCGACCGCGTATCCGCGGGACCGCGCCCCAGAATCCAGGCCGCGAGGGCATGGACATGGAGATCTTCGCCGCCTGTGAGAGGACGTCATGGGCAGCGATAGGTGGGGATAGGCTTCGGGGGGGAACGCATCGACCCCCAATCGCGCATTGATCGCCGATGGGGGTCCGACAGCCCCATCCTGCCCATGAACATGCGGATTTGCTATCGGGGGCTAATCGGCGATGTATCGGCGATGTGTGTGTGTGTGAGTGTGTGTATATATATACATATATATATATATATATATATATATATATATATCCGATCCAAGCCTTCCGCAGGCAGGTGCAGGGCGCGTGGGGGCTGCTGTGAAGCGAGGCGCGGGGAGGGGGAGGACGAGGGAGGGAGGAAGGAGGGAGGAGGGGAGCGAGGGGAGAAGAGGAGGAGGAGGAGAAGGAGGAGGAGGAGGAGAAGGAGGGGGAGGAGGTGGAGGAGGAGGAGGAGGATGAGGAGTGTGCCCTTTCTCAACAGTCAGCATTTGCTTCAAGCGGGAGGGGAAGGTGAGCGGGGGTGGGAGGAGGAAGAGGAGGAGGACGAGGAAGGAAAGCTGGAAACGGAAGGGAAGTAGGGGGAGGATGAAGAGGAGGAGGATGAGGAGGTGGAGGAGGATGAGGAGGAGAGGGAGGGAAGGAGGAGAGGGAGAGAGGGAGGGAGGGAGGGAGGTTGGGGAGGAGGGAGGGAGGGATGGAGGAGTTGCGGGAGGAGAAGGAGGAGGAAGAGGAGGAGGAGGAGGAGGAGGAGGAGGAGGAGGAGGAGGAGAGGCGTTTGGTCGAGGAGCGGGGGGGTGCTCGCGCGCGCCCGCATCGGCCAATCCCAGCGGCCGTTCCCAGCGAGTGAGGTCACGTGGCGCAGACATGCCTGAGCTCAGCGAGCGGGACTTGCAAATGTGCATGTGGCAAGCCAGTGCCGTGGCACTCGCGCTGGTGTTCCCGTGGCAAGCTTCGTGGCTCGGCGCGCTCCAGGGCTCCAAGCAAGGGGAGAGCCGGCTCCAGACCTCCTTGGAAGCAGGATGCGGACAAGACATCGTGCCATATGATATGGTAGGTCAGGAAGTCAGAAAGTAGTTTGCCACATCTGCCAGCGTGCCTAAACAGGCAGAGTCCGCTCCAGAATGGACTGCTCCACCGCTAGAACCAATTGCACAGCGAAGGTCAAAACTCAGAGAGTAGACCAGAAGCATATTGTACAAGAGCTCAGTTGGCAGGTCGGAGCGAAAACACGTCACTCATTGAACATGCTCTGGACAACTACTCCCTGCGTCTCCTACAGCCTCCCCAGCGTCGCATCGCACAGACGAAACAGCGTTTGGACAAGGCGCTGGAGAGACTGATCTCTCTGAAAGCAAGAGAGCAGGCGGCCCAGGAAGTTTTCGATAAGGAGCAGGATGAGGTATAACAGTTCCAGAACTGCTCAGAGCAACTCCATTCAATGAAAACAGAGACATCAGAGGACTGGGTGCTGGCGCCATGTGTTTTCATGGACCAGGACTCCTCGAAACCGACGGCGGCGAAGACAACGCACATGACTCATGGACCCTGGGGCACAGAGTCGAAGCTCCCAGCGAAATGGAATGCAACAGGCATTCGGTATTATTATGTTAGCCGACAGCAGAATATGGAGGCTCTTATGCAGCAAATGGCGGCCTTCACGATGGCATAGGGGACCATGCCTGGTGGAGTGCCAGCTCCTGCGCCTCCGTGTTCGCCAGGACCCCTGACAAGTGCCAGCTCAGGAGCGGCCATGTCTTCGCCATTTGCCCAGCGCTGGAGTACCAGGGCAGCAAATGTTTGGAACCGCGCACATGACATAATCATCGCCCCTCTCGCCTGCGATAATGACTCGCCTGCCTCCCAGGCCACTGCGGCGGCAGGTTCCGATTCGGGATATGCAGGCCCAATCGGACGCATGACATTAACAGCGTCAGCCTGCAAGGGCAATGACCAAGGTGGTTTGTAGCACAGGGCCTCCAATCATGGGGTTTACTATAGGGGGCGATCGAGAGCCATAATCAAGGGAGCAGGCAGACACTCCAGTCATGGACACCATCGATCTCGAGTCTGGACCCGACCTCAGATCTCACACCACAACTGCTAGTCTCCCACGATCCTGGCCGGGACATCGTGTCCAGTAGCCTTCCCCATCTCGCAGGCTCAGGACGCGGTGAGATCGGGGGCCATGCCAGGGCCTGCTGTTTCAGCGACGGGGGACCCTACAGGAGAGGGTTTTCCAGCACATGATCAGTTCCGAGGGCCTGACAAGGAAAACTGACAAACCTCATTACCTTGATTCCCGAATGCATGAGAGCTAGCAGCTTGTGTCCAGCAGGTGAGGATGAAGGATGGTGCAGCCGCAGCACCAGAGGCGCCGTCAGGGGACAGCCCTCCCAGAAAGTACCAGGGAGCCGAGGGCGATCTTGTTTGCCCCTCAACGGAAAAAACACCGAGAGAGGGGTGACCCTCTATTATATCGTTCTAAATGTCGAAATGACAACTGCCCGAGACCTTGTAGAGCAACTCGATATCAGCATGCAAAATTCTTTCCATTCAACATATGGAGTGCGCATGGCAGAACTCAACATGGGCTGCACCTGCGCATCGAAGCTCCGACCACCCTGGCAACGCCTTCCACTGCAGCCACAAGGACGGCTACGATTACGGCCGCACCCTGTACGTCCTTTGCTTGCTCGGCGAGGGCCATTTGCCCCCTTCCTTTAGACCTTAGTTGCGTGGACTCCGACTGCAGGTGGATTTGGGGCTCGGCTGAAAGGGGGGGAAGAGAGCGCGCCTGAGGGCCTCGTGCAGCTGGTGTCCTCGCCGGAGAGCGCGGCTGCGGTGGCGGCTGCTCGCGTTGCGTCGGCTGCGAGACGGGCGCCTGCGACCTCGACCCAGTCGCTGCACTCGCCCTCCCGGAGAGCTGCTCCCCTGAGTCGGACCTCGGCTGTGCGGACTCCGACTGCACGTGGCTGTTGGGCTCGGCTGGAGAGGGGGGGCGTGGGGCGGCGCGCGCGAAGGCCGCGTGCGGCAGGCGTGCTC